GACTACCAAATACCGGTCTCCTTTTCATGGCTTCCTTTCTATAAACATCTTTGTTTTACATACATATTAAGCTTAAGCTGAATGAGACTTTTATTTGTTCACATACTATGTTTCAACAAATAACTCTTTAATCAGAACCTCACATTCAAATGAGTAGTTGAAATCTTTGCTTCTAAAGGATAAGTAATCAAACATTGGTGATTCTTTGCCTTCCCAAAAGCTGTAGGCACATTGCAATGGTTCATTTTACACCTAGATTCTCAATTTTGCTTTTTCATTATTTGCTCTTTCCCATCACATCCAAACCCTTATTGAATTCTCTCAGGGCTTTTTGGGCTCCAGTCACCCCTGTCTATTTTCTGTGAGTGCTAACAGCAAAGGCTAAATCTACGATTCTGTGATTCTGTGATTCTACCATAGATTTAGCCTTTGCTGTTAGCACTCACAGAAAATAGACAGGGGTGACTGGAGCCCAAAAAGCCCTGAGAGAATTCAATAAGGGTTTGGATGTGATGGGAAAGAGCAAATAATGAAAAAGCAAAATTGAGAATCAGCTGAGTTGGTTAGAAGTCAGGAAGGCAGCAACCACTGTTCTTACCATATTTCCATATAGCTCTGCAGCTCTCAAATGACTGACATACGCAGCTTCCTTATTTCTGGGCCTCAGCATCTCTCTGCTCTGTAGCTCATCCACAGAAGTGCAGCTATCCTTTTCTCTTTTTTTTTCAAAAGCAGTATTAGCTCCCCGCTCTTGTCTTCCCTGTAGTCCATATCCTCATTTATGCCAAAGTAACACTCATTTTCTTTTTTCGTATTTGCTGTAACTGCTTCTTTTTTCATATTTGCTGTAACTGCTTCCATTTCTTCATTTCATCCTACACTTCTTTATAGCTGTTATAGTTGTCCTTTTATCCTCTTTTCTAACTAAAACTTGTCTCCAGCCAAAACCACAGACACATATGTGAGCAACTTCAAACCAGTCCTGGGGTCCCTAAAGTCTTAATCCAGATCCAATTTTTGCAGCTTGAGCCATCTCTAATCCCTAATTGCTCCTGTCATCTCTTTCTCACAGCCCTGGCTGTAAGCCACAATGTTTTATGCTGCCTTCTGTGCTTGGAAATAAAGTTACAATGCCCTCCTGTCTCTTCAGTCTTAAAAACATATTTATTTTCTGAAGACTTCCTTCCACTGGCTTTTTTGCCGAAAATTTTGTATATGAGCTGTTGTCAGCATTCTGGCTATAGAGCATACTAGCACTCATGACATGCAGCAAAAGCTGCAAGGAGCATGCTGTCTTGTGGTCACTCCCCCGAAGAGAGGACACCTACGTTTTTGTGTATGATCCAAGGACTTGGACTTGCAAAACATTTTTTCTAATTAGTATTTCTTGTAAAATACATAAACAGTCCTCAACACAGGAATTAAAAACCTGTGTGAGAATCCAAACCACAAAGTCATAAAGACATATAACTCATGATCTCTTTTTAGTGTACTGAGATTGCACACAGCCACGGTGTCAGAAAATGGAGCAGCCACTGAAACCTAGTGTTTTGGGCTCCCTGCTAGGAGGTGGGAAAACAGTTTTTCTATGTGCCTCAAGAAAGACAGAAAACTGAAAACAAGGCTCTGAGATTTTGTGTTGATATTCTTGTCACTGAGCTGGTGATACAACAGTAATATTAGCAATAAATTTTTTCTCTGGGTTATAAAAGAAAACACTGAGCAGCATTGCATCTTATGTAGAAGGCAATGCCATGTGCCTGTGCTGAACATACTTTGAAAATAACTGCTGCATTGAGCAACTTCAAGATCAGAGCTTTTGTATTCTTCCTCATGTAGATTGCTTCAGTAATTTCCAAAGATCTACAGATTTCTGCAGGGAAAATACATTTTTGCATGTGAAGTTTCCACTGATCTTAATACACTTTCTCACTGAAGAGGAAAGAAAGAATTTCTAGCTAATTTGGTCAACTTTTTCCTAGAAATGAGACAAAAGGCTTTCATCAGAAGTTTAAAAACATTACATTGTGGGGTCATTTTAAAATTTCACTTTGATGATTGCCTCTTTAAGGACTCTAATTGTGGCTTGGGTAGACAAAGGTGACATTACAGTAGTTTTCAGGAGAACTCTCACCCAACTATTTTATAAAGCATAGGCCAGACTGTAGATACATGCATGGACTGTAAGCTTACGTGACCAACAAAGCCAGATGTGAATCCTCAGAACACTGACACATCAGCTCAGGAAATGCCAAAGGATAAAGGTTTATAAAAGTTGCATTTGTGAAACAGTCATCTGTAACTTAGGAATATTTTTTTTTTATAAAAACAGTTCTACCAGGGGAAAGGAACAGATCTAGTGTGCTACATAGGAGTCATATATTACCTAATAATTAGAGGAATATAGGAAACACAGTTTAGTTTAAGAACAAAACAAAGAAAGAAAGAAAGAAAGAAAGAAAAAAAACCACCAACAACAAAGCCCAAGCCCAAAACTACAACCACAGATTCAGAATAACAACCCCCAACTTAATGAATTAACTAAAACATTGGAAGGATGATTTGGTTATAGAGCTAAGCAAGGCTGTGTTCCCAATAGGAAAAGACTGAACTTTCTCCATTATCAAAGATTACCAAAAACTGTAGATACAATTACATCAAAATATGGTATGTCACAAACAAGACTTTCAACATGGCTGTGACTTAATGGATACCTATCACAAAACAAGTCGTAGCCCTGTTAATTTTCTTCTGTCTCTGGAGAACCTGATTACAGGCATTGCCAAAAGTGGCAAATTAACCTCACTTTTTTACAGTGGAATAATTTTGCTAATTTTAACTACCTTATGTTGGATTTACAGTAACATATGATAGTGCAGAATAAGTTCAATTACTCCCCATCAGTAAGTAAATTAAGAGTATTCTTACTGAACCTTTGGATTTCAAACAATCAACTAATTGATAAGAAGGGACTGACACTCATAGACATTACAGTGGCTTAAGCCAAGAACAAGCAAGGAGAGAAAATTCTGAGCTATTGGTGGTGGAAGCAGAGAACACAGCATAATTTGGTTTGGTAGGAATTACAAGTGAATTGGAATACCATACTTCCCCCTTTAGGCAGCAACTGCACACACATAAAATTTAATGCCAGAGCCATTCCCTCTTCTCTCTCCCCTTCTGTATTTATATATATGCCAACTGTATAGGAAAAATACTGGTTTACATTATGGAAAAAGACTTTTTGTAAGATCCACTACTCTCTTTATTTTCCCTAGATAAAATAAACAGCAACAGAATACAAAGAAACCTAAAAATTAAAGTCATTAAAAATAACTCTTTCTATGTTTATAATTTCTTTTTTCTTTTAGTTCTCACATAAATGAAGTTCCTTTTGAGCTCTATTGTTCTTTTTAATAGAATCTATTATCTTCTTCTGTTCTCCTTCCAGAGATAGCTGAATGAGTTTTACAATGAAATAGGCCTACCGAAGTGATATTCAGAGCTAGACGAAAAGTAGAGTGTCTGGTTTTGAGGATTTTTTTTAACACTTAATTTTGGCCAAAATTGAAGCAGGACAACAAAGAAAATTTTCATTTCCAAAACTGTAGATCTAAGAGAAATTGACTTTCTCATGAGCTAACATGACACTGAGTTTCACTGAACAGTTTTAGAAGCTTCCCTTTGCCTCTACTTTGCAGAAAATAAAAAAATACTGTTTTCCCTTTTCTGCCTGCATTAATGGGTACTCTGCCACAAAACTGAGGCACATGAAGCTGACAGACTTTTACTGCTGTAAAACAGATCCAGCCAAAGTCATGCCTTGTTTTCCGAAATTGCCTTTATTCCCAAGATGTTTTAAACAACGCACTTTGAATAAAGATACTTTAAAAACCTGCCTAGGTATTAAAAGACTGCTTTTAATATCATGCTTGTACATTGATTATTTAACAGGCTGTCAGTTCACTAAGGGTAAAAGATTGGACCCCAAATCTAGCAATAAGAGGTATGGGAAATAAGAGAGGAGACTATCACCTGCAGGTCCCACAATCTGTCAATGAGGCAAGGAATTTCAGGGATGCAAATCTTGGTTTCCTGATTAAAACATGTCCCAACAAAAGTTAATTCTACCATTTGCCTCAGCCCCAGCATTACCATGTCTAGAAAAATTACCAGTTTTCGAAGGAGGTCCAAGAGTATTACATCCCTTATTGTACCTGTACTACTTATTTAAGACATCTGACTATCAGTAGAACAGAGCTGTCAGAGCTACCATCAAAGTTAGGAGGATCTGGGCTCTGAAGATAGAACATGCTGCAGAATGCTCTAAAACATATGAACTAAAGCATCGCAAAAGGGGCATCCAAAATTTGTATGCCTTAATTTTATTTTGACTCAACTCCCTGTTTGTAAAATGAGGATAACAAAAGGCACCATCTTGTAGTTGATGTAGGAAAAGAAATTAATTGCATGTGGGATGCTTTGATACTGGAATGCTGAATATCACATAGAAATCCATGAGGAAATTAATAATTCTGTCTTCAGCAAGAGGCTGAATAGTGTGCAGGAACCGAGGCCTAGAACCACACAACGTGCAAGAGAAAAACAAAAAATGAGACAAAATGAACAGTTGTTGACGAAGCACTGAGATGTGAATGCATTTTTTTTCCAAATTGTAATTCAGATGCCCAGCATGGTCAAACTAATACTGTACATGAAATCTTCATGATGATGTTGCCTCACTTTTTTGATTTTTGATTTTCCTACATTTTAATGCAATCCCCTGTACGTACATGTATTCCAGTGCTAAGTAACACAGAGCTCTTATATTTCCTGTCCAGATAAAACATAATGTCTTTATAGGAGATCCTCTCTGGAAGCTACATTTTAAAAGTCAGTGAAGTGCAATAAATGACCTAGCTGTGGTCCTATATTGCTTAAAATATCTGTGTCCAGATTTTGGAAAGAAAAAGGAAGTAATAAATTTTGCTTGAACTCACCACACGTTTTAATTGCACAGAACTCCCAAGGGGTGTTAGGGTCAAGAGTGTAGCACCACGGTCGCAGCTTGCCATCAGGATTGCGGCAGTAATTATCATCAAAGCCCTTGTCAGGATATCTGCAAACCACAACAAGAAACGTGTCAGGGAAGTCTTCCTGGCAACACTTGCCAGGCTTGTATGAGGTACTTAAAGGACAGCCTTCAGCAGAGGCAAACGAGAACCAGTTCCCATTAACCTTGGGTCAGATCCTGTGAGATGGAGGCAGATGCTCTTTAACACTCTTAGAAAGTTAGTAACATAAAATCTCATTCCAAATATGCAACAGAATCAGACCTCCACTGAGGGGATTCCCTGCTGTGCTAATGCCCAGGATGCCGGATGGGGTAACTCTGCTAATTGCTAAACTCTTGCGTCTGTCAACTGATGACCAGACTATAAAGCCACTCTTTTTTTTTGAAACAGCCCAATTAAATGTGGATTATATAAACACTGCCTGGCATGCTGGACTCATTAAGAAAACAGGTTCTTCAGTGCAACATCCCTGGGTTCAAACTGGAAGCTATTTTGAACAGCTATGTTACTAATGATAGCTCCATGTTTGTAACAGAGCTTATTCTAGGTCATGCCCTCATTTCAAGCACTGGGGGAGGAAAAAAAGAAAAATAAGGAATTAACTTCCATCTCACTTTATCTCATTAAGATTTCAAACTATTGTGCCATTTAATTGTTTCCATGTTCCTACTGCCATCATTGAATGGTCAGACAGATATTCAAGGTAAGGAGGTTTCATTTGTATAAATGTACCATATGAAACTCCATAAACTTAGAGAAAAGGAGATAAAGGCATACTTCTTTTCCTCCAGTGAATACAAATTGTGTTGGTTTTCCAGTTTTATTGAAACATGTTTGCAAAAGAAACGAAAAGTAGATTTGCCCCTGAGGGAAACATCAAAAGTATGTAAGAGAACAATAAAGTTAACTACCTGGGAACCTGAACTCATTTACAACTGCAAGCAGATGTGTTTTGTACAAGTGGAGGAAGATATGATTTACAAGTGTGTGTTTTTTCTAGGATGCTTTTTCTGTCAAACAATTATCCTGATCATGACTCATGCATTTGCAACTTGATCTCCCATTCCCTGGGAAAAATCAGGTTCCTTCATCTATACAAGGGACAGGAACAGGATTTCAGTAGAAAACAAACAAACAAACAAAACTAAAAACCATCAACAAGGAGAAACCTCACAAAACTGAGAAACTAAGGGCAGTCAAGGATGTGGTAGTTTCAGATCTAGCACCACTACCCTGTTTTCCGCTAGGTAGAAGAGAAACTGTAAAGGAACAAGCCACGTCCAAGTATTTCACAAGCAGGTAATGGGCTGATAAGAGTATGAAATGGCTTTGGCCACCTGGCAGGAGCAGTGATGAGCTTTGATGTTGGCAATACATGCTTTATTTCAAGTAGCAATGAGAGAGTCCACAGCAATACCTAGGAACAAAGGTGAGTCCAGGCATGGCAAGGTGTCTGCAGTCATAGCTCCCAAAAGCCATTCAAAACAACTAGGGATGTAAAGAATTCACATTCTAGAAGGCAAGTGTCTTTCATAGCACTGAATGTTCTGTTCTTCCTGACATTTTATGATATGATCCCTAAGTACGTCGAAGTGTGTTATTTACTAACTAAAACTTAAGCATAGATGCAACAATTCTTCCAGGATCAACCTTTGAGTGTCTTTGTGAGATGCAGCAGTGTCTGTGAACTGCACCTTTCCACTATATCTATGTGTCCTTTTCTAAAGCAACAACAGTGACCTTTCCAGTCACTGGTTCTTTCCGCAGTGTTCAGGCACACTTCTGCCTTCCCTCATCCAACAAGAAAAAGTTCCTCAGTGCCTATAGAAAAGATGAGGTAACACCTTTAAGTCACAAACATTAAAGATAAGACAAACTTCAAACTGACCACACAATTCAATGGTGAGACTGTGGAGGATTTTCTGACAGCTGGTCTCTTTGCTTTGAACACTCCTCCTTCAGTCAGTATGTTTGGGCACAAACTCTTCTTGCTTAGATGCAACAAATAGCCTGAGGTTGCCAAGATCTTTCAGAACCCTACGTATTTCATTTTTTTACCTCTTGAAAACACAGTAGCTGCACTTCACTGCTGAAACTGAAATGAAGCATTAAGATATGCTTTATGCTTTTAAGATTATGCTACTAATATCTGATGTCAAAATCAAGACTTTTTCTTGATTACTGGGGGAAAAAAGTGTAACATTTATTCTCTTCAAAGAGACAGATGTTGATCTCTAGCTCTGCTCGAACTAAATTGAAACTTAGTGTCTGAAACCAATACTTCTTTTTCTCTTATTTTAGTTTTAAAAGACATATAGGACTGGAAACTTGATATTGTATAAAGTAAATTTTCATGCAAGAGATATCACAGAATCACAGAATATTAGGAGTTGGAAAGGACTTCGAAAGATCATCCACTCCAACCCCCCTGCCAGAGCAGGATCACCTAGACCAGGTCACACAGGAACGCATCCAGGTGGATTTTGAATGTCTCCAGAGAAGGAGACTCCACAACCTCTCTGGGCAGCCTGTTCAGTGCTCCATCACACTCACAGTACAAAAGTTTTTCCTCATGTTCACATGGAACCTTCTATGCTCCAGCTTGCACCCATTGCCCCTTGTCCTGTCATTGGCTGTCACTGAGAAGAGCCTGGCTCCTTCCTCCTGACACTCGGCTTTCACAAATCTATAAACATTAATGAAGTCACCCCTCAGTCT